ACCTTTTGGAGAAATATTGTAAGGCTTCGGGTCAGAAAATTGACTCATCCAAGTCGTCTAACTTTTTTTAGCAAAGGTTGTCCCACTACTATTAAGGATGAGATAAAAGGAATCCTAAATGCACCAAATGAGACTTTGAATGACAAGTACCTGGGCATGCCATCAGATATATGTACTTCAAAGTTTGGTGCATTCAAGTATTCGAAAGATAGGTTGTGGAGTGAAAGAATGGTTAGAAAAATGTTTGTCCTATGTAGGCAAAGAGGTTTTGGTGAAGTTAGTAGAACAAGTAGTCAGAGTGTTCTCCATGTCTTGTTTTAAGCTACCAAGGGGACTTTGTGAGCATTTAAACAAACTTATAAGACAGTTTTGTAGCGTAGCAAGGAAGGAAAACAAAAGGCAACTTAGGTTTCTTAGAAATCTATGACTCGGCCTAAATTCATGGTTGGCTTAGGGTTTCATGACTTTGAACTTTTTAACTTAGCTCTCTTGGCAAGGCAATCTTGAAGGCTACTATAGTAGCATGAATCATTGTGTGCGAGCTTGTTGAAGGTCGTTTATTTCCCTTGAAACACAATTCTTGATGCTGAACTAGGCAACCGGCCATCTCAGGTTTGGCGTGCCATTGTAGAAGGAAGAGATGTACTTAAACAGTGGCTGATTATGAGAATGGGCGACAGCTCGATAACAAAAATCTGGATGGACAACTGGATTCCAAGGGATGCCACGATGAGGCTGACAGCATGCTTGTCGGCTAACCCGCCATCGATGGCAAATGAATTTATTGATACTCATAATGTATCATGGAATAGAGGGGTTTTAGATCAGACATTTGTGGTGACGGACACGACAGCTATTCTGAGTATATCTATTTGCACTCGGCAGATAGATGACAATTGGGCCTGGAACTTCAAAAGGAATGGATTGTTCACAATCAGATCAGCATATCGCATGTTGGTAGATACAAAGAGGTGACATGAAGAATGGCTAGAAGGTAACGCGAGCTCCTGTGATTATGAATCTGAAGCAAAGGCATGGTCATCTTTGTGGTATGTCCAAGTTCTTAGAAAAATACACATTTTTTTATGGAGACTGGCCAAGCACTCAATCCCTACCGAGGATATCCGGCATGATAGACGATGACAAGTGACAGCTGTGTGGAATGCAAGACTCATGGCGCCATTCGCTTATGCGTATGGACGCTAGTAGATGAAGATGTAGCAAATTTTATACAAGCATCTACAAAGCCAAGGGCCAAAGTGTGTTTATTTCAAGCAATAGATCATCTACCACATGACAGTTCGGTCAAGATGGCAGTCACCATGTGGGCCATTTGGTCGGCCCGGTGAAAGGCAATCCACGAGGGTGTACTGCAAAGTCCACATGCTACTCATTCTTTCGTTAACAGCTTCATCGCTGAACTAGCAACTATCCAAAATCCAGCAGGAGACACGCCAGATACATCATCTCATGTTGCTCAACCCAGTGGCTCGCAGGGGTGGAAATAGATGTGGAAAAAAATCCAAGTTAGTGGTGGGCTCTCAAGGAACAACAGAAGGGGAGCAGCTTGCAATGGTATGCAGAGATTACACAGGACTATCTTTAGGCTCTTCGACAATGGTTTTCAGTGACATTATTGACCCGCCGACGTTGGAAGCGCTCGCATGCCGCGAGGCTCTCGCCCTAAGCACTTGACCTATCTTTGCACCAAGTGGCTATAGCATGTGATTGCAAAACAGTAGTAGAAGAGATCGAGCCTAGATCAGAAGGGAGATACGGCGCTATCATCAAAGGAGATCACAGTTCATGCTCGGGAATTTACTAGGTGTGATTTTGTTTTTAAGGACGTCAGATGAATGTTGACGTACACAATTTAGTTAATTTGTCTACTTCCTTAGATGTTGATCGCCATTTGTAGTAGGGTATGTACCCCCATGACCTTCTTGTTATCCGAGTAAACCGAACTACTAGCTAATAAAGTGTGGTTTACCGCTAACAAAAGGAATATATCAGGACTATGGACGTAATTATTAGCCTGCATTGTCAGGGATTACTGCTGTTGTTGACGCGCTATAAAGCAGAGGATTTCGACATGCCGTGACCAATCCTGAAACCGAACGAGTCAGAGCGGCGGGATTAACTTGCTGGTCACCCTGGCCGCATCATTACCTGCCGTGCACTCTTACCAGGCCGTGTGCGACGTTTGAATTAGACAACCGGCCGCCGGCAGGACGACCAAGCACATCACGTCGCTCTGCATCTGCATCTCTGTCGTCGTAATTCGTAGGAGTAAATTCGTTATGCAGCTGCGTTGACGGCTCATGAGGCCAGGACCGGGTGCAACATACTCCTTTGAAGTTTGAAGGCTTGACCTTGAACACGTAAAGCCATCCGATTGTCAAAAAGAAGAAAAAAACAGCCTGAACCTGAATTGACGTTCGCCGGATTCCGTTCACAAGTGTTTTCTGCCAATCGCGACGCGCACGGACGTCAGCCATTTTTAGGCCAGGTTGAAGGTCGTGTGCGACTGTGACCGACCGAGCCACGTTCGCCGGTTTGGCCGACCGAGGCAACGCGCGTTCTACGGCTGGCCGCCGAACGGCCCATGCACGGCCACGCGCCCACGCCGTCGCCGACGCCCACGCCCGCGGCGCCTCCAACGGCCGTGCACGCACGCAGCGTGGGACGATCGTGTGGGGGATGGCTGACCTGTCGTAATATGGCACGCGTCCCCGTCACTCCGCCAGCTGTGTGCGCAGCCGTGGGCGCACGATCGATCGGCGACGTGGCCTACGCGTCGTTCTGTTAAGGCATCTTCAACTGTAACCTGAAAATTTCCCTCTTTAACCCCTCCGTGGATAGAGAATTAGTCCGCGTTTTTGCGGGCACGGATGCAAGAGATAGCCATCCAACCGTAGCCATATACATTTTCACAACAACTCGAATCAACGGGACGAAATTCGTTCAAACAAGTCCGGATTTCATATAAACATGGCCAGATTTCATATAAACATAACGGATTTCATTACAAATACATTAAAGTTGTGCTAGGTGGGCTCTAAAGTATAATTAATACCTAATCTAAATAATCGCCGGCGCCAGTTCCCCGTGTTCGGCCATGAACCAAGAGAACTGAAGTTTCGCCTTGTCCAGCTCCGCCTCGACGCTCTCCACATCTGCCTTTGTAACCTCTGTCTCCGAAGGCCCGGGAAGTGAAGTTGTCCGCCTCCATGTCGTCGCCAAGCGACTAATCGGCCGAAGATGCTCAGCCCACCAAGCTTGGTGTCGACGAGAGGGGAGGAGCGGTGGCCTTCCTAGGACACGAGCGTCGACGACCTACCGTGCACTAATCGTCTTGGCTGTCGACGGCGCTCACGGACGTGTCGGCTTCTTCGTGGTCATGGCGTCGGGGCGTGGCCTCCTCCCCGTCGCACTCCTTGCCGGCGGCCGCCACCTCCGTTACCCGCTGCCAGTACCGCTAGCGGGCGAGGCGGGTGGAGCAGGTGGAGAGGTAGAACTCAAGCAACGCCTTCTGCTCGGCTAGGTCCGTGTCCGGCGCGGTCGCCCTGCCGTCGGCGACCTGTTCCTCCGCCTGCAGATGCTCCTGCATGAGGTTGTGGTTGTAGTTGGTGTCGGCCTGCGCCTCCCGAAACCGGTCCTCTCGTTCCTCCTGCACCATGTCCATATAAATGGGCACGGGCCTTGCCGATGGTCATGGTGCAATGCACCGGCGAGGGTGGAGCGGAGGAGGATGGTGCCGTGGAGGAAGAGGAGGGTGGCGCTGGCTCGTCGGAGGAGGCGCCCTCCATTTGCACGTCGGAGAAGGAGGTGCCCTTCGGTTGCCTACCGGCGGCAATGGAGGCCATGGCCTTCTTCTGCTCTGATGTCAACCCGTCCCAGAGAGTTTTGACGGCGGAGGGATCCACGGCGAGGAGTGGTGCGAAGAGTGATGATTGTGGCTATGGCTGGGGCACCGGGGCAGTGGTAGCACCGGTGGGCGGACAGAGGGACGGATGTGTGGCGTCGGAGGAGAAGCCTCGGCAACCGTGTGCCATCAATGCGGGCGGCAGACGGACGGACGGGCGGCCGTCGTGTCGTTTAAACGCGCGACGGTCGCCTGCACCGAAAAGCTTCCATGCCGGCGCCGGTGAGCGGCCGCGTCCGCTCTAGCTGGGCATGAATGCGGGCGCAAACTGAAAACGCGCGGGAAAGGGTAGAGGTTTTTGGTGGGTCAGGATGGTCAAAAGCGGACTTAGAATCGGTCCGGGCTCTAATAAACCTCCTTCACTTTTGTCTTTGATTTGTAAGAGAAATCGCATCCGGCTCACACAATGAAACATGTGTGCTGAACAGTTACGAAAAGTTTGCGGGTCCGCATTGAAGATGGCCTTACTTGGGTGGGCCGCGCAGGAAGCGCGTCGATCGGCCGACTGGCAGATCGCTGTGCCGCTAGCTCATGCTCCTACTCTAGTCTCTAGGGGAGAGAGGACACAAATATCTAATTCGTCCGAGCTAGCCGGTGAGCCCATCGTCACATGCATCGTGAAGTGCAATGGGGGCGGGTCAACTCAACTCTTGGGTGCACAATTGCACATTTCAGATCCAGCCAGTGCCACGAAGCACGCAGACCAGCAGCGAGACTCTGCCGGAATGTTCGCAAATAGCCAAGCAGAGACGCCGGATTCAACTCAACTCAACGACAGAATCTGGCGCCAAGAGATGCGCTACAGTGTTTACGTGCACACGACGAACAAAACCTTGTGGTAATTCTTCCAAGTAACTCTTGCGAGCAGCAAGCGTACAAACCATTAATCTGCAAGCCCATCAATCTTACAGTACATCTTAGATTAAGCGTACGAAGGAACAAACAAACCGGAAAAAACGAGATGAATTTCGGGAGCGGTTACACGGATTCGCCCCGGCCCGAGCCAGATATCTACATACACCTGCTACCAACCAAGCATACAAAGCGCACATTCATCAGCATCAGTCGAAGTCGATCAGGCGAGCGCGGCGAGCCCGCCGCCGCGCATCATCTGGCGGAACTCGTGGAAGTCGACGCGGCCGTCGCCGTCGCGGTCGACCTGCCCGATCATGCGGCGGCACTCCTCGGCCGACCGGCCCTGCTTCAGCCCCAGCGACGCCAGCACGGCGCTCAGCTCGTCCACCGTGATGAACCCGTCGCCGTTGGCGTCGAACACGCGGAACGCCTCCCGCATGTCCTCGTCCTCTTCCTCGTCCGACGAATCCTTCTGGTCCCCGCCGCTGCTCGTCGACATGATGGTGCGGTAGAGCTCGCCGAACTCCTCCACGTCCACGCACCCGTCGCCGTCGGCGTCGATGCGCGCGATCATGGCGGCCAGCTCGTCGCCCGGCACGGGGATGCCCAGCTTGCCCAGCGAGTCCTCCAGCTCCTCCCGCGTGATGCGCCCGTCGCCGTTCCGGTCGAACAGCTCGAACACGCGCGCCAGCTCCGCGCGGTCCGCCGCCTTCACCGAGGGCGACATCTTGCTCGGGGCCGGAGACGCTGCCGGTGGAGGCGCCGGCGACGGAGACGGAGACGGCGAGGGGGGCGCGGCGCAGCCGCGGACAGGGAGGATGGAGGAGAAGCTGGTCGGGATGTAGGAGAGGAGGCCGGAGGGTGGCATGGAGGGTGGTGTTGCTTTGCTCGCTGTGGAGGCTTTGAAGGAAGATCGCTCGAGTTGAGTTGGGTGGGAGAGAGTTTGGTGGTGGTGGTGTTGGCGCAAAGCTTTTGCCGTGGACCAGGGTTGTATTTATACTACTCCTTTCTCGCGTATTGCTCTCTTTCTTTTTTTCTTGTAAAAGGGATAAAGTGCTTCCGTGTCCTTATATGTCAAGAGTTCAGTCGATGAACTCTATTGCTTTAAAAAATGGAGTTCAGTCGATGAAGAATTTGGGACGGACTCCATTTCCCCGTGTCTTGATTTGACTTCCAAATAAAGTGTCATTTTGTCTTACTTAATTTACTCGGGTTTTTCCCCTTGCCTAGAAGCATTGTACTGGTATGCATAATATCCCATCGAAAAACGGTATGACTCGCAAAAAATAAAGGACGAACAGCGGTACAAATACGTTTGCGGGAAGTATGTGTTCCAAGTATAGGAACATGCTACTCTGGACATGTCTACGTATGAACCCATTTCACGAAATTTGAAAAAAAAATCACATTTATATGTTTTGGGAAAAATACATATGTTTTTTTTTTGCGTGTCAAAAGTAGACAAAAAAAATTGCTGGCTGTGGGGTTCGAACCCACGCGCACTTATGTGCAGAAGATCTTAAGTCTTCCCCCTTAACCACTCGGGCAAACCAGCTCTTGATGAAGAAAGTTACATCTTTCGTCAAATATACTATTATTGCACAACTCACATATGATCATGCTGAAATAACAGCAGAGACAAAATTTAAATGGCACTTTATTTAATGTCTGTGTAGAAATATGGAGCTTGCTAGAGTTGATCAACGTTGGTATTGATGTGTATATATATATGTGTGTGTGTGTGTGTGTGTGTGTGTGTGTGTGTGTGTGTGTGTGTGTGTGGAAAATAAGAGAAGAGGAGAGCTACTCCCCTTTAATTTGGTGCTATTGAAAAAAAATTCTGAAATATGGTGTACTCCCTCCGTTCGGAAAATCTTGTCTCAATCTTGTTTCTCAAATGGATGTATTTAACACTAACTTAGTGCTAGATACATTCATTTGAGGGACAAGTTTTTTCGAACGGAGGGAGTATATATGTGGAAGATAAGAGAAGAGCAAGACGGTGAGGGGAGGGGAAATTCTTTGGTATTTCTGAATTATTAAATTTAACTTTTGAATTGTTATGAGGCATATGGTTTCCGCATAACTAAAAAATGCAGCATTTTATTCTTTATTTCGGTGTGCTATGCTTTGTCCCAGACTTGTTACCACGATGGAACTAGAAGCTGAAAACTAATACAGGAAGCAGCATAAAATACATTTGACTTCAGTTTTGAGAATAAAATCTGGCCAGGTTACGGCATCTCTAAAAGCGGACCCTCGAATGGCCGGTAAACGTCCAGAACGGCGCTGACCGGATGCGTTGACATCCAACATTATCCCGCACCAGTCTGCAGACCAGTTTGCATGTTCATTTTCCCATAAACCGAAAGCAAACTAGGGAGGCTTTGCCGGAGTCCGGACAGCTACTACGTCAGACTCCGACACCCACAGCCCACCCAAAACCACACCCAGACCCGGTCTTCATCCCTTTTCCCTTTCTCTGCATCTGCTTGCTCCCTGGTCATCGCCGTTGTACCATCTTGGCCGTCCGTCAAGCCCTTGTCGGACCTCCGCTGCCTCCACCGCTCCATCCAGTTGCCACGTGCTTTGCCTACACCGTCGTTCGTCACCACTCGTCCCTCCACCATGCAGGTACCATCCGCCCATGTGGATGCTGTCCGTGGGTCACCACGTCCGGCAATTGTTTGGTGAAATGCCCGTGTTAAATTTTTGACCTTTTCTCCCTTCTTTGAAGCAATGGATTTAAACATGGAGTCCATGTACGAGCACTACGTTGAGTCGTCCAACGACTCGTCTGATGAGGAGGTATGCGGATACAATAACGATGACGCAAGCGGTCCTTCTAGACGTGGAGCGTGCGGAAGAGCATGTTCTCAATTTCAAGGGATCGATCAATGGTCATCGCGTGTTGGATTGGAACAGTGCACGTGGGCATTTGATGTTGATGGACGACTACTTCACCCCCGACGCCCTATTCGCTGACAATTTTCTTCGATGCTTTCGAGTGCGAAAAAATGTGTTTGGTCGCATCTCCAATGGCATGCGGTCCTACGATGACTACTTCATCTTGAACAAGGATGTTGTAGGAAGAATTAGATTGCTCTAGTTAGCACAAGGGCATGGCTGCATAGCGAATGCTTGCATATGGCACGACTGCAGATTCATGGGGCGAGTACCTCCGAATATCTAAGAGCACATACGGAGACGCCATGGTGAGATTTGCTACTGCGGTGGTCATGGTGTTTGTGTTGGGGATCATAGCAGAAATTTAAAATTTTCTACGCATCACCAAGATCAATCTATGGAGTCATCTAGCAACGAGAGGGAGAGGAGTGCATCTACATACCCTTGTAGATCGCTAAGCGGAAGCGTTCAAGAGAACGGGGTTGATGGAGTCGTACTCGTCGTGATCCAAATCACCGATGATCCTAGCGTCGAACGGACGGCACCTCCGCGTTCAACACACGTACGGAGCGGAGACGTCTCCTCCTTCTTGATCCAGCAAGGAGGAGGAGAAGTTGAAGGAGATCCAGCAGCACGACGGCGTGGTGGTCGAAGTAGCGAGATCCCGGCAGGGCTTCGCCAAGCGCAAGCAGGGAGGAAGAGGTGTCACGGGAGGGAGGGAGGCGCTGCTATGTCTTGAGCTTGCGTTGATTTTTCCCGAAGAGGAAGGGATGATGCAGCAGAGTAGCGTAAGTATTTCCCTCAATTTTTGAGAACCAAGGTATCAATCCAGTAGGAGGCCACGCTCAAGTCCCTCGTACCTGCACAAAGCGTTAGCTACTCGCAACCAACGCGATTAGGGGTTGTCAATCCCTTCACGGTCACTTACGAGAGTGAGATCTGATAGATATAATATTTTTGGTATAAAGATGCAAAGTAAAAAAGTAAATGCAAAGTAAAAGGCAAAGCAAGATTAAAGTGATGGAGATTGATATGATGAGAATAGACCCGGGGGCCATATGTTTCACTAGTGGCTTCTCTCAAGAGCATAAGTATTCTATGGTGGGTAAACAAATTACTGTTGAGCAATTGACATAATTGAGCATAGTTATAAGAATATCTAGGCATGATCATGTATATAGGCATCACGTCCGTGACAAGTAGATCGAAACGATTCTGCATCTACTACTATTACTCCACTCATCGACCGCTATCCAGCATGCATCTAGAGTATTAAGTTAAAAACAGAGTAACGTCGTAAGCAAGATGACATGATGTAGAGAGATAAATTCATGCAATATGAAATAAACCCAATCTTGTTATCCTCGATGGCAACGATGCAATACGTGCCTTGCTGCCCCTTTTGTCACTGGGTAAGGACACCGCAAGATTGAATCCAAAGCTAAGCACTTCTCCCATGGCAAGAACTACCAATCTAGTTGGCCAAACCAAACAGATAATTCGAAGAGACTTGCAAAGATAACCAACCATACATAAAATAATTCATAGAAGATTCAAATATTATTCATAGATAGACTTGATCATAAACCCACAATTCATCGGTCTCAACAAACACACCGCAAAAACAAGATTACATAGAATAGATCTCTGTTGGAACAGGATCTATTATGATGATGTAGAAGCCCTCCGTGATGACGGCCCTCTTCCAGCGGAGCTCCGGAATAGGCCCCAAGATGGGATCTCGTGGATACAGAAAGTTGCAGCGGTCGAATTAGGTTTTTTGCTCCTGTTCTGATCGTTTGGGGGTACGTGTGTATATATAGGAGGAAGAAGTACGTCGGAGGAGCAATGAGGGGCCCACGAGGCAGGGGGCGCGCCCCCACCCTTGTGACCGCCTCTTTTGTTCCTTGGAGCAGGGTCCAAGTCTCCAGGATCACGTTCGGTGAGAAAATCATGTTTCCGAAGATTTTATTCCGTTTGGACTCCATTTGATATTCCGTTTCTTCGAAATACTGAAATAGGCAAAAACAACAATTCTGGGCTGGGACTTCGGTTAATAGGTTAGTCCCAAAAATAATATAAAAGTGGAAAATAAAGCCCAATATAGTCCAAAATAATAGATAATATAGCATGGAGCAATCAAAAATTATAGATACGCTGGAGACATATCAGGCATCCCCAAGCTTAATTCCTGCTCGTCCTCGAGTAGGTAAACGATAAAAAGAGATTTTTTGATGCGAGTGCTACTTGGCATAATTTCAATGCAAATCTTCTTAATTATGGTATGAATATTGAGATTAGAAAGATTCAAGACAAAAGTTTATATTGACATAAAAATAATAATACTTCAAACATAATAACAAAGCAATTATGTCTTCTCAAAATAACATGGCCAAAGAAAGTTATCCCTATAAAATCATATAGTCTGGCTATGCTCTATCTTCACCACATAAAATATTTAAATCATGCACAACCCCGATAACAAGCCAAGCAATTGTTTCATACTCTAACTTTTTTAAAACTTTTTCAATCTTCACGCAATACATGAGCGTGAGCCATGGATATAGCACTATAGGTGGAATAGAATGGTGGTTGTGGAGAAGACAAAAAGGAGAAGATAGTCTCACATCAACTAGGCGTATCAACGGGCTATGGAGATGCCCATCAATAGATATCAATGTGAGTGAGTAGGGATTGCCATGCAACGGATGCACTAAAGCTATAAGTATATGAAAGCTCAAAAAGAAACTAAGTGGGTGTGCATCCAACTTGCTTGCTCATGAAGACCTAGCGCAATTTGAGGAAGCCCATCATTGAAATATACAAGCCAAGTTCTATAATGTAAAATTCTCACTAGTATATGAAAGTGATAACACGAGACACTCTCTACTATGAAGATCATGGTGCTACTTTGAAGCACAAGTGTGGTAAAAGGATAGTAACATTGTCCCTTCTCTTTTT